AGAACTGCATGGCTTTCACTGAGAAAAAATAATGACAAGAGTATAAAGTTTCGTGGTTTTGATGGGAGAGAATGACAGCAGCAGTCGGCAGAGCAAAGAATATCCAACAGTAAATCCCTTTTAACGGGAAGAGGGGAAAATGGGTCAGTGATAACTGATAAGAAAGAGTCGATGGGCAACTCCAGAAAAACGACGACTGTGTGCAACTCGTAATAATTTTCATCTTTGCAGAGGAGAAGTAAGGTGAAAGTGGAAGCGGAAGTGGAACCCAATGCCAAATTGCCAAGGGGGCCAAGGCATTATCCACTCCCACTCTTTGCCCAGTATCGTGTCTTTTCTTGAGTCCCACAAAACAATGTCTGGGAAAAGAACACAAAGAGTTGCATATATTCTTCATGTTTTACTATAACATTCCTTCACACAAAAATCAAGAGAGAGAGACTGGCAGCTAGCTTATGGAAATCTCTGTTACTTTGCCCCCCCCCAAAGACAAAAACAAAAATTCAGGCGCCAAGAACGGGAAATTCCAATCTCTGATCATATCCTGCAGTCCATATTCTCCTTTCCACTTCCCACTGGTGACGAGAAGTGAAAAGTCCACTAAAACCCAGTTCAGAAAATGAGATTCCTACATCGCTACACGCTCATTTTGAACAAACAACTACGGCTGAAATACACTATATAATTGTCCAAGAAAAGGGTCATGTGGGATTTCAGAAAAAAAAATTTCCGATCCAACGGTTAATGGTTATGCTCCTACGGTGGATCCTAGGAACAACTTCAAAAATTGTTGGGCCCTTGGAGGCAATTCCTATTGGTTAGTGCAAATACATACAAAATAATACAAATTAGATGGTTTTACACTCATATTTGTATTTATACTTCTTCCAAACTGAACCTAAAAAAAATTAGGCTTTATTTTTTATTCTTTTTTTCCTTAATGTAGCTAATCCATCATAAAATCATTTTACACTTATAATAAAGGCTCTATTTGTTTGCAGAGTTCTGTTTAGATTTGAATCATTTGTTTGTAACTATAATTTGCATTTCTATCAGTTGATGCAAATTTTGTACTTTTTTGCCTAATTTGCACTCACTGATCCTACAAATTTTGCATCCCAAAAGTATGGTTTTTAAAAATGAATCAGTCAGGGGTTCGGTTATCGGTTTGAACAGTCCGATCGTTCAACCCGAACAGCAGGCCCGTTCTGACAAAAAAATAAAAATTTTAAAAATTTGAAAACGGTCAAAACCATTCAAACGGTTAACCAGTCGGTTCAGCGATTTATTAACCAAAATCAATGGTTTTGAAAGAAAAAACAGTTTTGAAGGAAAACGGAACCGGTCCAACCGATTCCTGGTTTTTCTAGTCCAACCGTCCAGTCCGGTCCAGTTTTGTGCCCAAAAGTGTGAAAACTACCTTCCAGATTTTTGTTAACCATTCAAAAGACTTGGTGCCTGATCTTTCACCACATGATCAGTTTGTTGGCCACATTGATTGATGGGTGACATTAACCCACCAACAAGACGCTCTGATTTTTCTTTTGAATTGAAAAGAAGGTAGATCCCTTAGTGGACATGAGTTTTGGTATTAACCTCACATATATTCAATAAAGCTTCAATTTCACATGATGTGGTTTTTAGCCACAAAGCATATTAGTATTGGGGTTCTCAAATTGGATTCAACCCAGCTTCACTTACAACCCAACCAGTTCACATCATAATATCAGAATGGTACAAAACAATGCAAAAACAGTTTGGTAAAGAACAAGCCTCGTCATGCCTAACCAAATTTAACATGATCAGCTACTTTATTTAGAAAGAACGTAACAAGTTTCTCTTTGAAAGTACCACCACCGATCCACTTCTGGTAGTGTTAAAGGCTCTCCAATACTGTCCTCAGGATGCACCACCCATCATCAGATCTCAATTTCACTTTTTATTCTCATTCTGTAAATCCAAGGAACTTACTTACTCCCACTATGTATATTGATGACTCTTTTAATTCAGCTACAGGAAGTACAGGACGAGGATTCATCATCAAGAATTCCACTGAAGGTCTACAAATTGCAGAAAGAAGTTCATGCTGGGTCATCAACAGTTACGGTGCCAAATACGGGCGCTTCTAATGGGCCTCAAAGCTGCAATTTCCAACAACATCAGGCATCTTCTAATATTTTCTGATAGTACAGAACTAATAGACCTTGTCAATACAAATCGGCCAGCTAAACATTGGGTGGAACAACTACATCGCAGCAGTATGAGACATCTTATTGCTGACTTTTATATATAAATTTTGTACATATTAACAGACATCACAATCAAACTGCCCACCTTTTTGCTTATATGTCATGCATGGGGCAGTTACGTATACAACATCACTCCAGACGATCTTCTCATGTAATTTTTTCTATGATCAATTGAAGAAAATTTCCTCTTTTTTGCCAAAAAAAAAAAAGGCAGATTAGTATTCTTTTAGAAAAAAAAAAATATACCGTTTAGTATTTGTCAAAAACCTGAGGAAGAATAGAGATTTTTCCCTAAATCGTCTATATGCAAAATCCAAGCCTTCAGAGTTTTTGACCCATTTCAGGCCTTAGACTGATATGTTCCTTCTAAAACATATGAGGGTGTATGGATATTTTGAACTCTGATAGGAGATAGATCCATATAAAATGATTTAAAAATTAACTGGTTATAAATAATCTGATTATACTAACTTTTTGTGTAATGTTTGGGTGGGACAAGTTGGTAATTACATCAATTAATTTATAATCAATTTAGCCGGTAACTAACCCCCACCCGAGTTCATATCATTTCCTTCCATTCAATTTCATGGCCAGATTTTATGAACTCCAGTCATGATTGCTACGCCAAGACTGATCTACTGCTGTTCAAAGAGTGGAAGAATTATAGATACAAGGTTCCAATAGTAGAATTCCTCTCTTTGCAATAGATAGGGAGGGAGTAAGTGGAGTTGCAAAACATTGATTAATCCGCATTTGGCATTACTTATTTTAAGGATTCATCTTCTTTTTATAATTAAAAACTTAGTATTCATAGGAATATTTTTACTATAAAAAGGGCGAATAACATTAGTGTTTAGTTACAAAACTCTTGCCATGGGCCACATTTTTTTTAGAATGAAAAAAAGTTTCATAGCACAAAA